GACAGGTATTTTGAACGACTATTTCTGAGCACAATTTATGATTAACAGAATTTCCCGTTATTGATGCCTGCTAATGATAAAAAAATCCGACTAACGAATGCCAAAAATTTTAATGTATACACAGCCTTTAAGCATGTGACGCTTTGTTTATGTGGCCACACGACGTCTAACGGTAACTTTGGGATGTCTGGCCTTAGAGCCATACCCAGGTCCACATTCTTTCTCCTCTTTGGAACACATGTGCTGGACTTCACTTTCTGCCTTCTTCCATCCGGCGGGAAATCTCGGAATGCTACAGAGACTTCCTAAGTTAATTTATCCATATTTTATAACAAATAAATTTTGCTAAAATTTCTCATTTGCTACATTTGTTTACTTTTATACTAAAATTATAGCAGTCTAACGTCGTAACAATCAGATTATCGTATCGGTATGGTTGTTTGCTCACGTTTGTTTTGCGAAGTCATTTTTTAATTGCTGATTGGTTTATTTGTCGCCTTCACGGGAGGTGATATGGGATTGTTTTAGGTCGCTGTGGGGCTGTTTCGTTGCAATGTCATTTCGAGCACCTAAACGTCGGCACGTGAAATCTACGCGGTTCATTAAAGACTCGGACTCCGAAGATGAAGGTGAACCCGGCCCAACAGACTTGAAAAATAATCCTTCAAATCTTTCCGTTGAAGAGGCAGTGGAGTGCATAAGGACGTGGCAGAACTTCCGCAAAAGACATGCTGGCGTCAGCGCTGAATCACTGTTTGTTGGAAGAAAGATAGAGCCTGAAGTTCTAATAGAGGACGATCCATTCAAAATGAAGACGGGTGGTCTAGTTGAGATGAGAGGCGCTTTCCTCAAACCAACGAAAGAGGAGTTTGAGGACGAAGTTAGACTTTCCAGAACGTTTACTGCTGAAACCAACAAGAGAGACGAGGATGCTGATATGTTAGTCCCTCTTCGTAGTTCTCACATCCCGATATATTATTATTTCTAGGTTGAAGTATATTGAAACTGAATTGGCAAAGCGAAAAGGAATTACAAAAACTGAAGCAGAGGCCCCCAAGTATGTGGTCTAACTCCTTTGATTTCCCTTTTTACGCGGGCTCGCCTTTTGACAATAATTATGGCTGGGTTAAGAGCATAGTCAGCTTGTTTTTATCAAGTTCCTATTTGCAGCATTGCTGTTTTTTCACATACCGAGTTGTTGCTCGTCACTGTGTTTTAACCTGAGTCCATTGTAATCCTTTACTTTTATTAAGTCCCATTTTGAACATCCTTATTTCCCTTTTTTTGGTTTTGGCAGTTTCTTACAACTTTTATTGCTTGAAAAATGCTTGTTCAGCTGGGCATTTTGTAGTCAC